AAGAAAACATCAGTTGCTCTGAGCAGGAACCTAACCGAGCCCCTTTCCAGGATCTGCACGCGTGTACACACCAGAGCAGCCTGCACCCCGAGCACCTTCAGCACCAGGTGTGAGTTCCCCTTGGAGACCCAAAGAGCCAAGTCCATGGTCAGCTCGGTCCCCAGAGGGCGGGATGGATCACAGAGCCGAGTGGCCAGCCAGATTGTACCCCTACCAAGGAAACAAGCAACCTATCAGGGCACCTAGCAAAGGTCAAGGACTCCAGCAGCTAAGGAGGGGTCTGAAATCCCTACTCCCAGGGGGAATTACGCAATCTCTCCCACCATACTGCCCCACTGGTTACTTTCTTAATCACAGATGGCTTAAATAAGGCTGAGGAGCCAGGGAGAGCTTATTCAATGTGGCCTCTGCCACCACACACCCTAAGACAGAAGCAAGGTACCGCCATGTTCTAGAAGCTTCATTCATGCTGCTCCCTTGGACCACAATCCCCTGCTCAACTGAGAAAATGTCCAGCTTCTGCCCAATCCAGCTAGCTCCCGCCCTCGCGCTCTCCAGGGTTTGCAGCAGCCCTTTCACAGGGCTCAGCCCCTCAGGGAGGGCCATGCTGGCCATCTCTCAGCTCCAGCGCCGCCTCGGAGTCCAGCACCCCGGGGGTTCCCATCCTTCTGCGAATGTAGATATAAGTCAGCTTGCTGCCTCTTCCTCTAACATGTCAGCAGAAAAGGACCACTTTAGGTTAGGAGCTATTCTGTCTCAGTCCAGTCGTGTGCAAACCTGAGAGGGAAACAGCCCTCACCTCTGCGCTCACACACAAAGGCAGGCACAGAATGAGGAAGCACCTACACCTTTGCTGGCTGGGCTAGGACAACACATCTGCTGACTTCTAGCACGCAGCCCGAGGGAGGGCACCTGCCACTCAGTCTCCGTGAGTATTGGGCTTCACAATGTGAGGACTACCCCAGATTCCCAGAGGAATCAGAAATCTCAAGGGGAAATGGTATGTTATCCATAAAAAGCAAGCCTGAGTTCCCATGAACTCACTGTAGACTGAGACCCCAAAAGCCCAGAAAATGCTATGCAATATAAGAAACTGGAAACTAAACAACTATCACTGTCTAAAACTGCATGGTGCATCTGCTCAGAGGGGAGCAAAGGATCCGGGGAGAGACCGAGGAAGGTAACAAATGATGGCGTGTCTGCAGAGGAAGATGGACCAACCCAGGGGTTGTGCTACAGGCCAGAGAGACACTGTACCCAGTATCGACCAAATAGGTTGATGTGGCAGGATGTATAAGGACTTCTGCACGGAAGCGTCTTGAAATAATTACTATTTAAAATCAATAAAAATTATTTCCACACAACATATTTTATCACCTGCAAATTTTGCCTGGGGATGTAAGTCAGAATGAAATATAAGATATTTCATGAAGAATCTGTACATCTAATGAAACCTACGAAATTCAGAAGAAATATGAACCAGACATTAAGCATTTCTGCTGCATACCAGAGGAGAATAAAGAAAAGCACTTGCACAATGGGCTGCTACAGTGTGAACTCAACTAGCTATGTTTGTTACCTAGTTGGTTTTTTGTTTTGTTTTGTTTTGTTTTTTTTTGCGGAGTTTGTCATGGGACATCATTTTTACTTGGAAGAACAAGTGACACATTATGGTGAAATTAGCCTGTGCATCTCAAAAACAAAAAAGAGGGCCTGACTCATCAAGAAAAACTTGACCATAACTTATTTGATGCCAATGAAAAACTTCAAGCTTTCAAGCAAAACTCTAAATTTTGGAAAACTGCTACCCAATATTTAAAGATACATACAGAAAATACATAAGAATGTGGCTTTTTTTTTCATTTTGCTAAGTGGCACAGGATTTTGGAAAAAGATTTAATTTAACAAATCCCTAGCATTAAACATATACACTTGTTTAAGCTATATTTCTTACTTCCTTTGTTTTTTTAAGTTAAAAATTATAAGACTCTCAAAACCACAGTAGTAGGGCCAGCCAGATAACTCAGAGGACTAAGGTGCCTGCTTAGGTAGAGTGCACCAGCCAGGGTTCCATCTCTGAGCTTGCCGTGCAGGGCCTGTCCCCGCCCCTGGGAGCGCTGAGCAGTTGACTGAGACTGTGAATGGTGGCGTGTGCCTGTAATCCCAGCTCTTGGGAGGCTGAAAACAGTCCAATCTACATAGTGAGACCCTGTAAACCCTGTAGCCCCTATGTCAAATACATTTAAAAAAAAAAAAAAAACAGTAGTTTAAACCATACCAATTTAACTGCAAAAAAGTTGCCACAGTTTTCTTTACATTAACCACTGATTATTTGATGGCAAACATTATGCACCCAAATAAATATATATTAGTATTTTACATCAATTGAATTTTATTTATTTTTATTTATTTTTAATTTTTTATTTATTTTATTTGTGTGTGTGTGTGTGTGTGTGTGTGTGTGTGTGGCCAGCTCAGCCCACCAGGGGGCGGGGCTGGCTGGCATGTGGTGCTGGGGATTGAACCATGGTCCCTGGGCTTTGCTAAACTTGTTCTAAGTAGGTGCTTTAGACCACTGAGCCATCTCACCAGCCCCATCAATTGAATTTTAAAGACAGATTACATTTTTTAAACTATATTTTAAAATAAGTTTTCAATAAGTTGTCCATGCTGATTTTGAACTTGAAATCCTCCTGCCTCAGTCTCCCAGAGTACTAGGATGACAAGTGTGCATACTCTCTTAAATATTGTGGCAAAATTCCATGTATGTTTATATTCTTATTACTTAAACAAGTTTATTTAATGTACACTGGAGCTAGAAAGTGAAATTACTGTACAAGAAAGCAGATAATGTATTAGTACAGTACCACCCCCTAAAATAGGGTGGCTATCCTTTTTTTTCTTTTTCTTTTTTGGCTATCCTGATAAAATCTTGAATTCTGATTTCCTCTGGTTAAGTCTTTCACTAATATCTTTTTAACACATTACTCAAAATACAAAGAAAACTGCAGCATACCTACAAAAAAAAACTTAAAAATTTTTCAAAGTTAAGTGGTTGGTCAAATAATATCTACCAAAGATATCCAACTTTTCAAGAGTTCAATGAAAAAGCAGAATTCCTATAGAATCCTTTAAATTAAAGGATTTTTTAAAAAGACCAAAATTGTTTTTAAATTAAGAAAAGCTCTGCTGAATAAGTTGGATAATACTGTATCAAACCCATAGAATCACAGAAAAAGGAAGTATAACTGACATCTACTAGACTATCTGATGTGATAGGATTAATATAGATTTGCCTTAACAGAAGATACCTGAAACGTACTTAGGACAAATGAAAAAGATATTCCTATACAACATATATTTCAGCCATAACAAAATTTTGTCTCGGATGTAATTCAATTTAACACATGAAGCACTGTCATTAATATTTTAAACTTCAAGAGGGTGTTTTTATTGTTTGCATTATAAAAAAACTTCATTAATGATAAATAAAGCTAGGGCCGGCCAGATAGCTCAGCGGGCCAAAGCGCTTGCTTAAGCAGAGTGCAGTAGCCGGTTCGATCCTTGCCTGGCGTGCCAGCTCCGCCCCCAGGCATGCTGAGACAGCGATTGAGACTGGGTGTGGTGGCACTTGGCAGGCTCCTGTAATCCCAGTGCTTGGCAGGCTGAAAACAGGAGGATGACTACAAGTCCAGTCTGTGTAGTGAGACCCTGTAGACCCTGTTCTAAATTAAAAGATAATAACAACAATGCTAAAATATTCACACTTCCTCAAACTTCTTCAAACTTTACCCCAAAACTTCAATTTGGGGATACATCAGGGTGTCCCCAAATCACAGCATCTTAAGCATCGTTACCTATTTCTTACTTGAATCTAAAAATTCAATAATATAAAAGCCACTAATTGTTTGAGTCTCAATAGAGCCTATTTCTTCCTTCTTCTCTGCAATTTATTACAATACAATTCATTACACCTAAAAAATGCCCAGTTAGGAAGTCCATTTCAAAATTCTGCAGGTGTTTTCCTCCTGTAAGAGGCATCAACCAACACATTTCTGGCTAACTCAGGAGAATACAGCACTGACTCAAAAGACTACTAGTGTTCAACAAAGAATGATCAGAGATGCACACAGGGTCACTTAGGAGCTTACCATTAAACACACAATAACCGGGAAACGTCAGAAGTTTTGAAATCGTGATGTTTCTGAATGTCCACATGAAATTCTGGTTTTTCCCTCATCACTAGAGTAATACCAAGGTGTACTCATCAGCAATAGGAGGAATGAGGAATTTGGACATTCAAGGAAAGACCCCATTACACAGTGGTGTACACTGGACCAAAGACCAAAAGTACTAGATACGTTAAATTTTTAAACTATACATAGCCTCACATAATTACGTTAATCGCTATCTTATCATAGAAGATACTTTAACAGGTAGCACAGACAACTATCTACCCTTGAAAAGAGCCTACAAGAGACCACCGTTCTGATTGGGCAATTCTGCCAGCCCCTAATTCCTGAAGTATGGCACAACTGTTCACTGACTCCATTCTAAGAGTGACCTAGAACACTAGACTGCATGCACCCTCGGGCTCAGTCACATTCCTGGCTGCTAGGTTTTCCATATTTCTACAACCAGTTATTATATCTGAAGGTGTCTGAATAAAACTGCAATTAGGCAGTGAGCCTAAGCTTAGACACTCATGTAAATGGATAAAGCTGTCCTGCATGCTCAAAGCGATAAGGGCACCCTAGGCCATCACACCTGATTTTGCCCCACACACGTCCACGGATGGCAGTCTTCCAAGTTCTTTCAGCGCACCCTGACCACACTCACACCGCAAAGCCATGCCCCCGAGCGGCGGGTCTGAAACAACCGCTCCCGTTACAGCCTTCCGCGGGCCGCGGTGCACACAGCTCCCAACCACACCAGTACCGCGCTCAGCCAGCCTCTCCTCCAGGGTGGCCGTGGGGGTGAGGGTGTGTCCCGGTACTCACCGATGCCGGGCGCCACATAGATGAAGTACAGACAAGACGAGGAGAGGCAGAAGAAGAAGATGAAGGCGAGCAGGGAGCGACTGGAGACCCGCATCATCCGCCGGAGCTCGGACAGCGTCCTCTCCCGGCCAGCAGCTTGGGCTGCGCTCTCAGGCCGGACCCGGGGCGACGGT